TCCCACGGCACCCCTGTGGAGGCTGGGCTCCTGGGCCCGCCCCTGCCCATGCAGAGGCCAGTCCACCCCAGCCCACCCTGACTTGGTGGTCCAGGCAGGGGCTGCAGAGAGTCTCCATGGGAGGGAGCCCTCCATCAATGGTGGGACCATCTCCCCCTTCCTCGGGGAAGCCTGACACCCTCCTGTGTGTCCCCCGCCCCTCCCCACGGGAATGTCAGCTCCATGCGGACAGGGAGGGCTGTGCCTGCTCTGTTCATCGCACTGGCGGGCTCGCAGTAGGTGCTGCATGAATGTGAGAGGGAGGAGGGAACAGGCAGAGGGTGTCCTCCCGCCCAGCCTTCACGGCCCTCGTGGCACCTCCGCCTGCAGCTCATGCGCCGTCGTGCTGTCTTATTCTCTATGAGGCACGTGTGGGTCTGTCTTCCCACTGACACTATCTTGGGAATGGGGACACAGCCGGGCCAGCCCCACGTGCAGCTGGGCTCGGAGGCCTGAGGTGGGAGGCTGATGTGTGAGCAGGTCCCTCCCCACACCTCCTTCTGGGGCCCTCGGATCAGGGAGGGGGCGAGCAGGGCTGGGAGGGGCTGGGGTGGGGATGGATTCTCTCAGGGGCCGGCTCTGAGCCTCTAGCCTCCTCTCTGCTCCCTGAGGGGCCTGGACCCCATCTGCAGCTCTCTGACTCCTTTCCTCCTGCAGGAGAGGCCCCCAGACCTCAGCCCTCTAGCAGGAATCACAAGATATGTGGGAGCCAGGGGACTGCCCTGCCCCTCCAGCCACAGACCCCATATGTCCCCCACCTTGGAGACAGGAGCCTTCCTTCTTGACTCAAAGCCCAGGCATTTCCTAGTTGTTCCTGGGGTCTGCCACCCTCGTCACAATCAGTGTAGACGAATCCATATCTAGAGGAGGCCAGGAGGGTGTCGCATGGAATGTCCTGTGTCCACTACCTGCTCTGGTGTCTAGTGGGCCTGGCTGACTCCCTGACTACATTGGAGCTCAGGAGGACAGGGATTTTTGTGTCTGTCCACGGGGTGGGGTGGCTGGGGCTTCATGTACATTTGTTGAATGAATGGGGTCCAACCAGCACCTTGCCAGACATCGGAGTGGGCCTGGGCCCCCACTCAGCCCCCAGGGATCCCTGCTCTGCCTACACCCAGGATGGGACCCCCATGTGGAATCTGAAACCTCCGTTAGAAATGGGAAAACAGCTTTGCCCGAGGCCACAGGATGGTGAGGCTCGAGGCAGGAGCTTCTTCACGGGGAGAGGAAGGTCACAAATAGAGACAACCACAGCCCTCGGCAGCCGTTCCCGCAGGGCCAGGCTCGGGTCAGCGCTGTCCTGGGCTGATCTCAATAGTCCTGACAACAACCCCATGAGGTTGTCCTCTTAGCTCCACAGTTTTCACACAAGCAAACTGAGGCTCAGAGAGGTGAAGGGACATCCCTGAGACACACAGCCAGCAGGGGGCAGGGAGCCTCAGAGCTGTGGAGGGGCGGGGCTCACCTTTTGAACAGCAGGTCTGGGGCCTACTGGGTGGCAGTGAAGGCTCGGTAGGTGCACAGGAAGAGGGTGACACAGGAGAGGTCACTGCCCTGGAAGGCAGGCACAGACCCTCCACCAGCTTCTCCAGGGTGTCTGCGCTGACCGCCCCCACCCTGCGGGTCTCATCCAGGTAGAGGGTTGACTCATTTTCACACTGGGACTCATCTTCGGACAAAGAGGGACAGCTCAAAACACCGACAGTACAAAAATACTCGTGTTTGCTTCCTGAAGTGCAGCAGTTTGTGAAGGATCGGCTCGGACAGTCTTGCCAACGTGAAAAGTAACTTTGCATTTGGCCAAGGCTGGGGCTGGACGGTGGCGGTGGAGGAAGGGAGGAGCCCCGCTCCTGGGGTCGGGACTGCGGCCGCCAAGGGGCAAAGCCCCGGCTGGGACTCTGCGGATTGGCCTGGGCAGCGTCTGGGCAGGAGGCCTTCCCTCGCCTCTCCGGGCCTCGTTCTGGAGGCCCCTCCACGGCAGCACTCACTCGGAGCTCCCCGGCCCTCGTTGGCAGCGTGGAGCTCCTGCTCTCACCCGCTCTGGCCCCAAACCCACCGTGAGCCCCGCTCTTCCAGGCCCTTGCTCTGGTGGCTGCCACTAGTCCCCCCAAGCTGAGCAGGGCACAGCCCTGCCGGGCCCAGAGGAGGTCAGGTCTAAGCGGCATGTCAGGCACTGGCAGCAGGAGGGGAGGCCTTGGCGGGGCCAGCCCCCTCCTCTCCTGACCCCAGGGCAGGCCCCCTCCTCTCCTGACCCCAGGGCAGGCCCCCTCCTCTCCTGACACCCGGGCCGGCCCCCTCCTCTCCTGAACCCCGGACCGGCACCCTCCTCTCCTGACCCCCGGGCCGGCACCCTCCTCTCCAGGCCTCGGGCACACTCACCATCTCCTTCGGCGGTTTCTGGGCTCTCTTGGGGTTCATCTCCAAGGTGGCAAACTTGGAGGTCCCCTCCTGCCAGGGTCAAGAACGGGGTCAGTGAGGCCATCCCCACCTTTCACCTACGACCCCCTGGAGCCTGCAGTCGGTTCAGAAGGGCCCCCAGGCTGCTTTCCCTGGAGCGGCCCCCACCCCTGCTCTTTGCCCCGTCAGCCTGCGCCTCCTCTAGGTCCTCACCACCCCTGAGACCGGCTGGCTCATTTTGGGGACTTGTCCACTTTGTCACCCACTTGGCAGGGCCGCCCATGCCAGCACCCCCAGAACTGGGTAGATAGCATGTGACCAATAAAAACCGCTACCCTCGCAGGTTCCAGGGGGACCCTCAGGGGACAGAGGATGGCAGGGGCCAGACAGGCCATCAGTGCGGTTCCCACAGGGGTGTGGGGTGGGGGCCACTCCAGGGTCTTCTGGCCTGGACACGCAACCCTGTTCTCTCAGGGCTCCTTTATCTTGGCCAGGGCTGCTTCCCTCCCCCCAGCCCTTGGACCCCAGCCCCTAAATCAAGGACGAGAAAACAGGGCCAGTCCCACGTCACATGTGTGTTCCTGCCTCCCTGCCTGTCACTCACGGTCCTGCACAGGCCTGACCAGCCCCGGAGCTGCCGGTGACGCCCTCCCTAAACGGCCTGCTTCTGAAGGGTGGTGTGGGCTCTCTGCCGCCCTCAGCCTCGGGGAGGCCCCGTCAGGTTCCAGGAACTCCTGTTCTGTTAGTTTTATATTGTGTTCTGATTGCAAGGGTCATGGCTCCCCCAGCTGGCCTCTCTGGAGCTCCAAGGGACTGGGGGCCCAGCCAGGCCTCTCCATTAGGGCTCAGCTTGGGTAATGTCACCCGCATACACCAAGGGGAGTAGTCTGTTGGGGGTAGGGCTCTGGAAGGAACCCTCGATTGATGTGCCTGTGAGTCTGCATTGTCACACTTCAGGCGTGCACAGTGAAGCGATGCTAGTCAGTGGGTGGTTTCTCACTGGTGCCCAGTTCCCTGTGCCTTCTGAACCACGTACTCATGGCACCCCCAACAAACACCAGCAACCCTCACCATGCACCCCCCACCCCCAGCCCCAAAGGAGAGGCTGACTGGACATGGGGACTCCTGTCCCCTCATGGGCTTCTGTAGGATCTGGGCTGGCACAGGCAGGCATGTGTCCACCCATGAGGACCCCGCTGGGCCGACGCTCCCCAGCAGACAGGCTCCTCGGGGTGGTCAGGCACTGGGAGTATAAATGCTGAAAGCAAGGAAGAGGGGTCCTGGAAAGAGGGGCCCTGCACCTCAGCCCAGGAACACAAGTCTTCCAGGGAAGGCCCCACAGAGCATCAAGAAGTCCCTGTGACAAGTGACCCCCCGAGTCCTTCCTGGACTCCCCGGGAGGAGGCCTGTGCAAGATGTAGGCTCTGACGCCACCTCCCGCCTGGGCTGGTATAACCAGGAGGGTCATGGGGACCTCAGAGCTGCAACACGGAAGATGGTGCCCTCGAGGGGCAGATGGGGACACTGCTGCCCCATCCAAACACCAGGTCCACACACCGGCCGTCTCCGTGAAGCTCCAGGACCCTGAGGGCAAGAACGCATCTTGTGTGCTCGGTGGGTGTCTGATAAATGCCACATGGATGAAACTGAATTCACATGGACCACACTGCGGAACCTGAAGGTCTAAGCCGCGTTCTGCCCAAATCTTGTTTTATTTCTGCTGGACTCACGCTGTCTGCTTTGCCTGGCCTGTCCCAAGCCAGAAGGGATCTTCCAAAAGGCTAGACCTGCAACCTTACGTTACTAAACAGCCCGAGACCAGGCAGCGGGGGAAGCCGCCCAACCTGGGGACATTTTGGTTGAGAAGAATCGAGCAGGTCTAAGAACCGTCCTAACACACAAAGACTAACCCCAAGGTAGAAGCGAGGACTTCAGATTCCAGGGACAAGTGTCTTGCGCCCTTTTTGGACAGGCTGCTTGCCGGCTGTGTGGCTGCCGGGCCCCAGGGGTCTGAAGTGGAGCCCTGGGAGGGCAGCTGCTGAGAACCGTTACTAGTGGCAGGGACCCGAGGTCTGGAGGCACTGGGAACGTGATGAGGACCACGGTCAGGGCAGGGAAGGGGGCCCAGCTTAGGAAGAGGCTCGGCAGTGGTTTGTATTGGGAGGAGAGCAGGCCCGTCACGGGAATGACCCAGGTCCAGCCTGGCCTATGCTCCTGGGGAAGGAGGGTCGGCTGGACTCTGGCCCTCGGCCCCCGCCTGGCCCTGCAGTCGGTACAGGGCCTCGACCTGCCTCCGCTTCTCCTTGGCCCGGCTGATAGTCGTGCGGAAGAGCCTGCAGAAGAGGTGCACGGCCGGGGGCGAGTCGTCGTTGCCGGGGACGGGGTAGGTGATGAGGGTGGGGTTGCAGTTGGTGTCCACGATGCCCACCGTGGGGATGTTCATCTTGGCTGCGTCTCTCACAGCCACATGGGGCTCAAAGACGTTGTTGAGCGTGTGCAGGAAGATGATGAGGTCCGGCAGGCGGACCCTGGGGCCAAGGAGGAGGGGGGCGTTGGTCAGCAGGCCGCCCTTGAAGTAGCGGGTGTGGGCATACTCGCCACAGTCCCGGGCCGTGTTCTCGATCAGGTGTGAAAACTGCCGGTTGCGGCTCACGAACAAGATGATGCCCCGGCGGTAGGCCACGTGGGCGGTGAAGTTCAAGGCCTGCTGCAGGTGCGTGGCCGTCTGTTCCAGGTCGATGACGTCCTGGTCCAGGCGGCTCCCGAAGATGTACGGCTCCATAAACCTGCCGGAGACCCCACCAGGGCGAGAGTGAACAGGGCTCACGCAGCCAACCCCACTGGCCCCTTCTCATCCAGACCCCACCAGTAATGCCCAGGCTCCTCTGGGGGGGCACACCGTCCCCAGGGCTGGCACAATGTGCAACCCCTCACCATGACGACAGACAGCAGTGAGGACTCATCCCAGGAGTCACGGCTGGGGGTGACCCCGGGTGGGGTGGGGGCGAGCAGAGCAGGTCTGGGTGGCAGGCCACTTCCAAGTCTCAGGCAAGTGGCCTAACCCTTTGAACCTGCACCTGGTCATGTGGGGATCCTATCCTAAGAGGACTAATCGCACATGGATGTCTGGATGTTTAATCCTTCTGCCCAGTGCTCTGCATTTAGCAGCCACTTTTATCATTATTATTGTTGTGTCTGAGGATTTTCAACCGAGGTCCCTCTGAGGCACCAACAAAGCAGGGGGTGCCCCTGGCCCAAAGTATGAGGGGCTGGGGCAGGGGGCAGCCAGGCCTGGAAGGGGAACCCTGAGGGCAGAGGTCCGCTGCTGGCCCCGGGCAGGGGAACGGGGACAGGAGAGACTGGCCGGCTCCTCAGCAGCTCCCTCGTCCTCACCTGAGGTCACTCTTCAGCTCACTCCCATCGGGATTCCGTCCCCTCCTCTCAGTAGAGTCTGCCCGAGGCACCCACGACCTCCATCCTGCTCGGTCATGGGCCTTTTCCTGCCCTCACCTCCCCTGACTTCTCAGCAGCATCCCGCAGTGGACCACCCTCCCCCTCCCCGTTCCCTGGCCACACCTCCTCTTCCTGGACTGCCGCCTGGGACCTCTCCTCTCCACCCTCCTCTCCAGGTGCTCTCAAAATGTCCCCCTGACGTGGTGGCTCCCCAGGCCCTGGCTGCTCCCTCCTAGTCCCTGCGTGACATCTGCACTGGGGTGGCCAAAGGGTCACCCCTCACAGAATCTAAGCTCCTGATGTCACCTTCCCCCACCTCCAAACCCCACCCAGATGTCGGCTCTGCCCACACTACCTCCCCGGGGAAACCCACAACCACCTCCCTCCTGGCCTCCCACCTGCCCCTCCAGTCCATTCTCAACTGTCAGAATGGCCACGTGAGAAGATCGGCCCAGTTATTACTCCTCTATGTAACCTCGCTGACCTCCCCTCGAGATGCAGGGGCCTCGCCAGCCCACTCACCCCCTCTCCCAGCTCACAAGACCGGCCACCAGCCTTTCTTTCTGTGACCCTGCCAGCAGCACCCTGCCAGCAGCAGGTCCGTCCCCACCGAGGGCCGTGAGCCTCACTCCAAGGTACAGAAGTCTGGTCCACGGGTGGCCACGAGCAGAGTCTGAGGCTAAATCCTCTCTCCTCCTTGGGGCTCAGGGATCCCACTGGGAGGAGGAGGGGGCTGTCCTCAAACTGACACACACCAGTACAAAGAGTGGCCTTGGACCCCAAAGCAGGAGGGTCCCCTGCCCCCCAGGAACCACCACACTCAGGTGTGGCATCTACCTGTGCCGACAGCCCGCTTTGTGCCCCAGGTGCACCCGGGCATCGAAGAGACTTCTCACGGAAAACAACTCCTTGACGTTGAAAAAGTCGGAGTGCTTGAGGGGCTCGCTGAGGATCCTGTCGTTGAGGTCTAGGACAGGGAGGAGAGGATGCTGTGGTCTCCTGCCCCTCTACTCCCAACCCTCCAAAGTGGGGGCACAGGGCTGGGGCGAGGGGCAGTGAAGCCCAGCCGCTGAAGGTGCCCAGGGCCATAGGGTCTTTTCAGGAGCCTCGGGCCAGAGGCGGGGTTCTGACCACGGTGTTGCTCCCGGGTAAACCGGGTCAACCACCCTGCAAAAGGAGAGAGGCCCAGCTCGTTTCTGAGGTCCTTCTGCAACCTCCAGGCCACCAGCACAAACTTCCCATCAGAAGTCCCGGGAGGGCTCAGGTGCCCCCACTCTCAGAGTGCCTCGGTGGCCCTCCCCAGGGAGCCAAGCCCTGCGTTAATCGCTGGATCACCATCGTCTCCCCACCCACCCCGGGGGGAGGTGCAGGCCTGGGCCCCGTCCTCAGATGTGGGCGGATGACTGAACTGCTCAGAGTGGGTGGGACCAGAGTTGGGACCCACGTGGGCGTGACCCCAGGGGCACTTTAAGTGCGCGCAGCACCCAGTAGGTGGGGCTGCTGGCGGGGGACGCAGGCCGCCCCTTCTCCCTCTCTCGGCCCGACCCCTCCAGGGTTCGCATCTAAAGCAAGGGCCCTCAGGACTCCTGGCGGCAGACGATTTCAACCCAAACTGGGGAGGCGTGGCGCGTTCCTTCGACCCCGCGTTGGTCTGGAGGAGCCCGCGTTACCGCTGCTGCCGTCGGGCTCGCTGACGGCGGGGGCCGCGGCGCTTCCCAGCGCTCTGCCGCTCGCCCGGGCCGGCCCGGGGGTCGTCGCCTCGAGGAGATGCAACCGCAGCGGCCTGGGCCGGACACCTGCGGAGAGAGCCGACTCGTGGCGCGCGCCCCGCCTCCCGGCTGCCCTCCCTACTTCCCTCCCTCCAGTGCGCCCGCCCGGCCGGGGCAGCATCCCTGCGGGCCTGGGGAGGAGGGTCCCCGTCCCGCCCTCAGGGCCCCCCGGACGCGCTCACCCGCGCCGAGCAGCCGGGGAAGGCCCAGGCCGGGCGCCATGGCGCGGACGCAGCGGACGGACAGGCGGACAC